TTAAGCTTAGAAACTGTGAATTCCTCCTCCCAAGCTGTGAGTCAGAGTGCTTTTTATAAGGGAAACTCCCTTTCAGGGCCCTCTGATTAAAATATTTTAGAATAATTGAAGTTACTGCTCATACGGATCTCTTCTCTAAAAGAGCCCTTGTGGGGCGAGGGTGCAGCGCCACGCTGAGGGAAGACTTCCTGCTGCAGGGTTCAGAATGCGCCTGAAAGAGAAAGTAATTGTCACAAGTCGGCCAGGGCTAAAAAAGAACAATGCCAGAAAACATTGTTCTGGGCTCACTCCTGTGCAAACTTATGGGAAGTGTTGGATCAGTTACTTGTTAATTTTCATTTGCTTTGGACTTCATTGTTGCTCACTCGAGAGCATATATAGAGAGAACACTGTGGCTGTGTTTAACTTGCCTAAAGTTATTAGGATTTTTAGTATAGCCAGGTGCAGTGGACACACTTGTAATCACAACACTTGGAGGCTGAGGCAGGAGGATTTCTCTGAGTTGGAGGGCAGCTTAGGCTACATAGTGGGATCCTGCCTCAAAAATAAACCAAAACCCAAAACCAAACAAACAAATGAAAAAAGATTTTTAGTATAGAAAAGCACTTAAAATGGTTGCTGGTTATTCTCCTTGTCAATGGAGAGAAGTCATCTAAAGTAAGTGTCTTCAGCTTAGCTGTAGCTGGTGGTCCCAGGTGCTTGGTGTCAGCAGGACAGGTCTGGAGCCTCGACTCCAGGTGCTTGAGTGCTTGAGGTCAAGCCCACCTGCTGGTGTTTCCCCTCTCCATCCTCACGGTGCCCTGAAACACAGCAACCACCGAGGACGGTGCAGGACCACGTGCTGAGTGTTCCTTCATTAACTCTCCGATGATTCTAGCAACCACCTGGCATTTGAAAATGGACCCTACTGGTGTGATTTCCATTGGCAGATGAAGCAACTGAGGCACAAAGAGATGAAGCTGCTCCAGGTAACAGCACGGAGAATCAAGCTAGATTTTGAGCTCGGTGATTTGTGTCCGATATCCACATTCCCCACCACTGTAATCGGGTGGCCCCTCAGCTTTCCTGAGTTGTGGGTGAGGAAGTTAAGATCTACACGGATTTCCCAGAACCCCCAGGGGCAGAGCAGGTGAGTGGACCTGGGAGTCCACCTGTGTCTGGATCTTTCCCCACCCCACATGCTGTGACGGCTCACTGTGACCCTGGGGCAGATTCCCACGAGTACCAGAACGTGTCTCCTTTGCCAAGGGTCGAGGACGCATCATCCACAGTACGGTGCACAGTGAACCCCAGAGCTCCAACTGCCTCCTTCCGGCCTGGGCAGTCGTCCCCGGTGGTCCTGTCCATCCCCGCTAAAGAGAACGCTTGAAGACCCTGGAAAGTCTGGCAGTTGCTGGGAAGAGGAGTCCGCTCTGCTGGGTAAGGACACTCTGGGGACACAGGGGCCCATGACGACTGTGGATTGCAAAGTGCAGATCTGACTTTTAAAAAAACTCCATTTTTATAAGTCCACTTTTGCCATACGTCAGGATCGTATCCCTCATTGGGAGTTGGTAAATGTGCATAACGCGTCTCAATTCTTTTTATGCCTTTCCTCTCCCTTCCCTCCATCTCTTAGTCCTCTTCTCTTTTGCAAAATATCTTAAGCCCAAAGCATCACTGAAGCTTAAATAATTGACTTTTTTAGAGCTCAATGTGAATAAAGTTTTAGCCATTGGATGTACGGAAGTGGAAATCCCTAGACCAGGTTGAAGGAGCAATTTGTGTCCCATATCCGTGCGACTCTTTCCAGGGTTCAGCTGAGGCGATGGTTACGGCTCCCGGATGAGTCCCTGAGGGAACGTGGGCTTTGTGTTTGCTTCTCCTCCTGGAGATAGGTACTCAAGAGCCTGGAGTCCGGAATCAGAAGGATCTGAGTTTGAGTCCTAGCCCCGCTCCTTCCCCGTTACGTGGTTGTGGGGAAAGTTCTTAACTTCCGGTTTCCTCCCTGTACAGTGGGGTACCACTGACCCTCGCTCCACAGGCTGGGAGAAAATCAGTTGGATTAATTTAAAATGGAATGAAAGCCCATGAAAAGTGCTTAACACCGAGACCATTGCCCCACGTGCCTTCCCGCTGTCCAGGTCGGCAGGTAACACGGAGGCAGCTCGAGGAAGAGCAGGAATCACCTTCCCCGGGGAATCCGCAGGGGACATGGGGGGCCGTGTGGTGGGGACTGCATTGCACAGCCTTCCCCAAGCGTTCGATGCTGCCCCGACAGGAGGGTGAGAGCGCTGGGCACCCGTCCTCTGTGCTCCGTCCGCTCAGCCGCACCCCAGGCGCAGGGAGGAAGCTGAAGTGAGACAGGGAATGGCCCAGCGCCGGCGGAAACCCCACGCAGGACAGCTGTGGCTGAGGTGTTAGCAGATACGCCTGAGTTAGAAAGAAAGATCACGCGGTGTGTGAAATCCAGGACCCTAATTCTGCCGTGTGCAGCGGTGGTCTAGGCTTTAACGGCGCTAAAGGAAGGAAGGAAGGAAGGAAGGAAGGAAGGAAGGAAGGAAGGAAGTGGGACGTGGACGTAAGCTCACAGGAGAAGCTCAAGAGAGTGCAGGGAGCGAGCTCCAGGGGATGGCTGGCCTCCGTGCGGGCCGCCGGCCACTCTAGGGATGCCGCAGGGGCAGGGGATGCTCAACAGGAGCGCTCAGTGCTGGCGAGGAGACACAAAGCCGGGCGACTATGCTCTGACTCGCTTTGCTAGAATGACTGAAGAATTTGACGTTCACATATATTAAGAAGAGGTCAAGAGAAAATTCTTAAAAATTGGAGAAACAATATGGAAGATGCATGTGAGAAAAATATAACATTGCAGCTCCCCCAAAATGGGAAACTGGGGGACAGGGGCAGATGGGGGTGAAAATGATTTCTTAAAACCCAGAGTCGACACGCTGGCACTAGTAGACAGACAGCTCCTGAGGTCCTCCAGGACGGCACCCATGCTGGATCACCAGCCTTGCAGCCGGGCCTGGGAGAGGACCAAGTCTGCTCACCCATCACAGAGGTGCACCCCGGGGTTCAGGGCAGCCCTGGCTGCTGCTCTCGGGGTCACCAGGGTGCAGGGCCTGCCCTTTTCCATCCTGTCCCCCTTCCCTGCCCTGTGCATGCTGCCCCTCCTGCACGGGGGCCTCTGTCCTTCAGTGTCCTCTAGTGATGACTGCTGCACATCGAGCTCCCCTAACACAGCAGCGGGGCCCTGGCTGCAGAGTGCGGGGATCCCCTGTGCTCTGCCTCCTGCTGACTGGGGCACCTGTGCTGCTTGACCTTGTGTCCTCGGGGTAACTGGGTCACACCAGGGTGCCTGTGTGGGACCACACGGGGTCTGCACTTGGGAGCGGCGGTCAGCATAGGGGCCTCAGGGGGAAGCTGGGCTGGCCACCTCAAGGCACCAAGGCTCTGTTTAGGGGTCTGTTTTGCTCTGTGCCGGGACCCTTCGGATCGTCCCCAGGTGTCAGAGCCCAGGGGGAGGAGGCTGGGATCCTCGATGGAAGTTCTCCGCCCTGGCTGGCCACGGAGCTCGTCCACATGGGTCCTGAGGAGGGGTCATCTTCCTCCCAGGCTCTCCACCCTCAGGGAGACTCCGAGTGGCCCTGCTGCCCGTCAGGCTGCTGTCCTAGTGGTGTGGGCTGCAACCAGGACTCCTGGGTGACTGTTGGGGGTCTGTTGTGATAGAACAGAGGTGAGTTTGAGGGTCAGTGTGCTGGAGCTCGGGACTCTGGAGCACAGCCGAGGGCAGAGACCCAGGTACGGGAAGTTTCCTTGAACAAGTGCCCTGGAAGCTGAGGACAGAGCCGAGATGGAGAGAGGAAGGCAAATAGGGGCACGTATTAAGTTGTACAAATGCGTTACCTTCCTGCCAACATTGGGTAGAAAGATGGAAACCCGAATCACAGAGCAGGAAACGAGCCTGGAGCTGCCGAGGCCTCACAGGGTCATCTGGACTGAGGTGCGCCCTGGACACCAGGCCTGCACCCCCAGTTCCATCCCGGACGGGTCTGTTTCCTTACCGCGTGTGCCACCTGGAGCTGTCGCTTTCCACTGCGCAGTAACAGAAGTGGGGTGTGCACCACACACTAGGCATCTCACTCAGCCTGGCTCCGACACCCGAGGGCTCCTGGCACATCCAGGCTGGGGTGAAGGAAGGAACCCGGATATTTAACTGACACGGGTCATACTGATTCTTTCTAGTGTTGGGGTAGGAGAAAAGAAAGAAAGATAATGTAGAAAGGAGACAAGGAGAATCAGAAATTTTAAATTGCACTTTTAAGAAAAACTGCGGCTTCAGGACACAGAAGTGATTCAAGCCCTTTTCCCCTTTAGGAAGCTCACTCCAGAAATTTCCCGCCGGCCTGACAGACACACTGAGCCTGCAATGAGGGCTCTCGAGGCCCTGCTTTCCACCTGGGAGCTGCGCTTCCTCCACAGACTCCGCCCAGGAAGCAGCAGCTGAGGGGCAGCCAGAGGCTCCAGAGCAGCCCAGAGCAGGGAGGTCCGCGCTGCGACACAGCCCACGCGTTCGGGGACGCGCCTCCCCGGGCCAAGCTCCAAGACCCACCAAGGCGCCTTGGATGCACCCAGCTCTGGGTCAGAAGGCGCCTCTGTCTCTCTAGGCCCGAACTCCTCTTCTCTGAGGGTATACTTTAAATTCCCGCCTAATAAACCCTTCCTGCACCTGCACTGACGAGTCCGGAAATTCTTTTTCTGAAATAAGTCTGTGAGCCTGCAACCCCGTTCCGCGGTAGGGTGGGTCCAGGTTCCTCGCCTGGAGCGAATCCCTTCGGCCCTGACCCCTCCTCCGCCCTGCCCCGTGACATGCTCGTGAGTGTTTTCTCAGAGGCTTGAATTTGGGGTGCAGCGTTGAGCTCCTGCCTGGCTTGTGCGGCCCTCGGTGTGACCTCGGAATGGGAGACAGAGTATGCAAGTGGGTTAAACTTTGTCCTGTGGAGAAGAAAAGCAGGCGACAATTTGCAAGAAAATTTGACGAAGTACATTTATTCAGGGAAAAATGACATGACATAGCTAACTTTATTTAAAGATATCCTATCAGAAGTTTATCTCCCGAGACTGTTTTTTCTTTTTGACTATGATAGAGCTAAAAGGTTAGTAAAAGTTTACTTCCACCTTGCCGATTTAGACGGCACCTAAATGGAAGGATTTTTTTCCTGCTTGTTATTTATAAGGACAGAATAATCTCTATAGAAAAGGAAAACATAGAAACAATGGCATGGCATGGATAATACTTTATCTTCTTTAGACCTAAAAGAGTTAATGTGAACAATTTTGACACTATTGATTATAAGTTAATAAAATGCTTATTCCGTATCCTACTTCACCCCTGGTAGTGTGGTGTTTCGGCCTCCCTGTTAATTGAAGTTTCCGAAAGAGAACAAAGTGGGAAGCTCAGGGAGGCCTCAACTTGGCCCAATTCTCCACCATTCTCTCTGTGTGGCCTGCACTTGTCTTGTCGAATGAGCATTTAAAACAAATTTGGTGTGAGATCTTGCAACTATACATAACCTTCCAGTTTACCTGGGACAGCTTTAATGTTGGTGAGAAACTCATAGAGCCTGCAAATGCAGCTGGCTCACAGCTATAATCCTTGCACTTTGGGAGGCTGAGGCAGGAGGATGACATGTTTGAGTCCAACCTGGGCAACTTAGTGACTTAGTGACCCTGTCTCAAATATAAAAATGGCTGGGAATGTAGCTCAGGGGAAAGACCCTGGGCTCCTTCCTCAGTATTGAAAAACCAAACCAAACCAAACCAAACCAAAAAACTTGCAAGTGTTATTTAAATCTATTTCTTTAGAACTCAACATTTCACAAAACGGAGTGCAGATAAACAAAAAAAGAAAATATTATTAACAACAGCAACACATTTTAAAATCCTAGTAATATTTTGGGGACCACAGTATGTCTGAAGCAAACTATAAATTCTATTTCCTCTTCAGGACTAAAATCCTGATATTCTTGCTAAGTGAAAACATCAGCAAATAATAATTTTCACTCTCTAATTATACTTTTCCTCCCTTGGATTAGTAACAGGAATTAAAAATAATCCTTGGTAGTCAAAAATTCCAAACTGAATCACAAGAAAATGAAAAAACCCAATTTGCCCTGGTTGCCTTTTGGTGGGATTCAGTGAGCAGAGCGATTCAGGAAAATGGCTCTGTGTGACCGTCCTAGGGGACGGGGTCTGCCCTGTCCACATCAGTGACAGCGTCGGCTCTCTGGCTGGCTGTGACAGCCCGCCCACGTTGGCTGTCCCCAGGCTGGGGGATGGGTGGAATGCGATTCCAGCACCCACAGGAAGCGGAAGAGGTTCATCCTGGCTACTTCTCCTTACAGTCACCTTGCTAATGAGGACAATTATTAAAGTCTAAAACAACATACCACAGCATAATGCTATGATTCTTCATGTGAATTTGAGGCCAGGATGTTTTACATTAATGAATCTGGTAAAAATATTTTGTCTCCTTTGTAATACAACTTTCCTATAGGACTGGGTAGGTATCTGGTCAGAATGAGAAAACTTCCTGATTTGTCCAGAGTTCTCTCTCTCTCCCTCCTTCCTTCCCACTTCCCTTTGTCTCCCTCTCTGTCCTCACCCATTCCGTTTCTCAGTCTTTCTCTTTCTTTAAGAGATGATCTCAGCCTGGAATTACCATTCTTGCGCAGTTGGCCAGGAATTCTGCCAGGCGCAGTGTGTGCACGTCAGCTATTTTCTGGAAAATAATCGCACGAGGTGATACTGTCTTATTTTAATTAGTCCAAGGAGCGGCTCCTCTGTCCTGTCAGGTGGGACTTCTCACTTCTCTCGGCTTTTTGTTTTCTGAAATGCAGAGTAAGCAGAAGGGGGACTTTGAACATCCTATGTAAGTGGACGCAGTAATTGTGATTGTGGTTAAACATGAGCTCACAGAGCAGGAACCCAGCCCACGGACACAGAGGGTTCGGCACCGGAAGCCCAGGATCCAGCAGGTTTGAATCACCCGGAGGAAGCGCTAAGCAAACTCTGCGTGTGTGGGAAGGTCCTGCCCTGCTGGGGACATGCCTGTCACAGCCTTCCAGTCTGGCCTGCCCTCTGGGGCCTGTCGGATTCCCAGGACACTTGCCTCTGTGTGTGTGTGTGTGTGTGTGTGCGCGCGCACGCGCGCGTGCATGCGCACTGAGTTTAAGAAGTATCAAGATCTGAAAATAAGACTCACTTTGTGGAACTGTCCTGAGACACATTCAGAAATTCACAAAGCTGGAAGGAAGACACCTATGGAATACGCCTATAGTGTGGCGTTGCCCCAGAAGCCTGATTTCCTCTTCCCACAGTTGCTATCCAACCTCACCGCAGGGCGAAGTGAAGACCAGGACCGGAAGTGTCCCTCTGGAAAGGAAGCTGCTCCGTGACCGCCTTGCTGGGCGCAGCAGGAACAGGGGCAGGGCGCGTGTCCTCTGCGTGGCTGAGGCCGCCCTGGGGCAGGGCTGTGGCAGTGCAGCCTGTCCCCCCCGAGCCCATCCCAGCCGGACGTCCCGGCTCACAGCAGCGCCAGGAGCTGTGTCCTTTCTGTTAGGAAGAGCAGCACGGTGCTTACTTGCCGTGTTTACGGAGCGCCAGGACCCTGCCCTTCTGCTTCGTCCAGCTAAGGGTAAAGGTCAGGGTGCCACCCTCTGGCCCCGGGGAGCAGACTCTTAGCAGACAGTGACTGCATATCCACCCGTGGAGCCAGTGCGACCACTCCCCCGAGAGGTCCACACTTCCTTTCTCCATTCAGTCAGGACTTGTTTAAGCCTCCAGTCCTGTCACGACCTGAGTGCTGGTCCTGAAGGAAGGGTCTGTGTCTCAGGTCAAGGGAGCGGGCATCCCCTACTCTCGTTCCAAGCCCAGTGGGCAGCGAGACCCTGCAGGAGAAGTTAGTCTGTCACGGAGAGGCAGGCTTCACGCTTCGCTGACTGCTGCGTGCTGCACTCCCTGGACAATTTTGGGAGACGTGGGTGTGCTGTGGACTAGGGAGGAGACGCATGTCATAAAGGAGAAGGCGCAGCTGCTGGCTGCCTTGCATTCTGAGGCGGTGGCAGCGCTAAGGAAGTTCTTCGCTGGGTCTCACATGTGCACTCTTGTGTCAGGGTGGGGTGGTTGCTTCCGGATGACCACGCTGAGCGAGGAAGAGTCCTTCGCCTCGGGAGAGGAAGAAAGCAGATGGGCGTCAGTCCTCGACACCACGTGTGTGTCTTCTCTGGTCATCGACAACGGGGTGCAGGCGGACAAGCTCACTCGGTGCATTTCTCGTTGGCTTTTCGGCCCCCAGCCCTTTATTTATTAGAGTCTTGTTAATGACTAACTTTTGATGCAGAGCCGGCACAGCTGGGTTGTGTCGTAGTTGTCTCAGGACTTTCAGGAGGGTGAGAAAATCTGAGATCTATCATAAAGGAAACAGGAAGCTGTAGAATATTCTGCTTCTAGCGGAGAACTGACAAAAAGTACAAAAACGGGTCTTTTTATATGACTGCCTTCTGCTGCAAAGTCTATTGTAAAAAAGGATGGCAATTTTCCCCTACTTTTGGACAAGTGTACACCTATTCTATTTTTTTCTTCCAGCTATTAAGATTCTCAAAGCCCCTTTCAAAGGAAATCTATTGCCGTCTAGTGTCGAAGTCCCAGAACAACCGAATTGCTGTTCAGCAGCACCGTAGTATTTATAAAACCACCTTGACCACTAGGCGGCGCTACGGACAGGTGCGCTTACCGGGACAACTAGAGTCTGCTAAATGTGTCAAATACATTATTTTCCTTCTCAGGTTCATACATTTTTCTGAGAAAACATGAGATTCCCTCAGAAACCTGACAGATTTTGGAACTGCTGTTTCAACTCTCACAGGTGACCGGAAACTTAAAATACCTTTAGATGTTTATTCTGATTTCCGCAGTTTTAAACAAACTAGTTCAGACTTTTGTCTCTTCAGCCCTGTCTCTCCCTTATCTGAATAGCTCTAAACCACACCAACCTCAGCGTGAGAAAAAAGGTTTAAAACATTTGCACAAATACCCAGGGCAAATGCACATCTTTCCCATGTAATCCGGAAGAAGAAATAAAAATGACCCAGATGTAACTGTCAAATGACAGGGGCTTGGTGCTTTTAGAAAGTGTGCTTGTGTGGGGAAAACTTCTGTTTTATGCACCAAGCATAGAGAAAAAAATTAATCTGTTCACAAGAACATTCGTCTGCCAGGCCGATTCATTACCCAAGCGTAAGGACCACTGCTTTTTATGCATCCATAATTCATTGCGTGAGCATGCTTCAGGGTTCCTTTTGACTTTTGGGACCGTGGGATCTGGCGGTATAACAATAGGAAGGGAAATGTTTGGGAGATTGATTTCAGGGCCTCGAGAGTGTGCTATAGATCCAGCTCTGTTTTTATGTTTCTATTTTATCTTGAGAAATAGTCCGGCTAAGTTGCTAATTGCCTAAGCTGGTCTTGAATTTGGGATCCTCCTGCCTCAGCCTCTCAGAGTGCTGGGATCATAGACTTGTGCCAACACGCCTGGTGTAATAGGCAGATTCTTGAAGAAATTGCTCTGATCAACTGACTTTCCTTATGGCTCTGCAAGGAAGGGTATAAAAGTCCATGAAAATGTAACAGCTCATTAGAAAATTGTATACCGATTGTATCAATGCCTCAAAAGAAATCTCAGTAATTAGTACCACAAATCACATTCTATCGATATAACGTCCATCATACCTACTATTGTTTTTGAAGTTTTTGTTGTGCATCTAATATATTTTTGGGGAAGAAGTAATTATAGTGATTCCATCTAAATAACTGTTGCTAGCGAAGCAGGAAGCTTCACCCAAATAATTCTCGGTGTGTTCTGGCCCCAGTGTCTCAAGATTCCAAAGGCACGTGAGAGGTGAATCCCCAAAGCTGGTGCTACAGGGCCACAGAACTTCCTGTGTTTTGACCGCACTTCCGTATCAGGTCACTGGCTTTGGTTCCAAATCCTCTGCATTTTGTCAGCGTGGCTTGGTGCTCCCATGCTCTCAGCAGGGCGCTGCTTTTCTCGAAGTGGGGAGAGCTGGGTCTCCGCTGGCCCTGGTCCACATGCACGGACCTCACTGGCCATGGCTGCTGCTCCCCCTCGGCCTGCTCGGGTGTGGCCCCCTCTCCGGCTCAGAGCCCGGCCCTTCCTGGAGCCCTGGGTTCTCCGCACCCCAAATGTTGCTTCCTTCGTGGGTCACCCCTCTGCTGCATAGTTTCCACCTTAATCTTCCTGTTGGCTCCAATCCTGAGTCCAGAAACCCAAAGCCTTCCCCATCCTTAAAAAAATAGATAAACAAAACAATAATTAAACTTCTCTCAGGCCAGCTGGGGACCTGGCGCCTGCCTAGCCTGCGAGGCCCTAGGTTTGATTGCTAGCAGTAAAAACCAATCCTGCCCCCGCAAAGAACCCAAAAGCCAGAAACCCCCAAACCCCAGAGACGATAAACAAAGCCCCAGCCCTCTCTGGACCCACATTCCCCTCTGTGTCTCGTTCTGTCTTTTCCCTTCCTTTTCTACCCACAAGTTACCTCTACTTTTTCACCCCTGTTCCACTCCTCAACGTGCCACATTCCACTTTCACCTCCCACCCACGCTTATGCAATCTGTGCAAGTCACCAGTGCCTATCAACTCTGTCTTACTGGCTCTGTTTGCCAAATCTGAGAGACCTGGGTCAGTCTCCTTGAAACTGTTCAGTGTTTTCTTTGTAGCTTTCTGGGAACCCTTCCTTGGACTTCTCTTATGCTACTCATTCCTTAAATATTGATTTTTCCCTGTTTGCCACATTTCCCGTTTTAATTTTGTACATTAAGAATTGCTTAGGGGCCAAGCATGGTGGTGCATGCCTGTTATCCTCCACTCAGGAGGCTGAGGCAGGAGGATTGCCCTGAGTTCAAGTCCAGCCTGAACTGCATAGTGAGACCCCCTTCTTAAAAAAGGTGGGGGGTCGGGGCGGGAGAGAATTGTTTGGGGACCTGCAGACCTCCTTGAAACTGTGTGCAGAACTTGGGGTGGTGGATTATGTACAACACTCAAATGAGCAAGTCCATAAAGTCCATGCTCAAACTGCTCTCAGAGCCATTTGCTTTTCTCGGGAAGGTTAATAACCACCCCCTCTGTGGTCATCCAAGGTGAACCTAGCATGTTATTTAAATAGCAGGCACTCACTGGGTATGCATTAAGGGGAAAGTGTAATTTTCTCACATTGTCTTCAGGCAGGAGTGATGGTCTTCACGTTACCCACAAAGAAACCGAGGCGGACAGGGTTGGGGCCTTGGCTGAGGAGACGTAGCTAGCAGGCTGTTGCAGGGTGAACTCCCTCCTCATTGCCAGTGGTCTCGGCCTGTGTTCCTGGCGTCTCAGAGTTGAGGGTCACTCAGAAAGTCACCCCCACTGTGGCCCTCAGGCTCTGAGGTCAGTGGCTCTGACACTGAGTCTGTCAGCTTCTTTCCCCAACCTGCATCTCCTTTGCCTTCCCCTCGGGGCCTGCGCTAGGCGAATCACCCTGATGGTTTCCTTTCCTCTCCTTTCCAGGGCCAATTTTCAATCTTACTGAGTTTCAACCCAAGTAATTACTGTTTCGTGTCAGGTCCGGCCCACCTGTCACCCGTAGGCATTTCTTTATCTGCCGAATGTCTCCAAGCAGTTATTTGTGTTACAATTTAAGTGTGTATATTTCTAACACTCATACTTCAAAAAGTATGTATTTAAAAAATCAACTGAGGGCAGGGGATTTAGCTCAGTGATTCTGCCGCCTGCCTCGAAAGTGCAAGGTCCTGAGTTCGATCCCCAGTACTGAAAAAAAAAAAATCAACTGAGCAAGGAGACACAGAGTCCCCTCATGAGAGCACTGCCTTTGCCTGTCCCCTTTGGCTAGCCTCTGCCTGGAGGCCCAGAGCGCGGCCCGGCTCATAGATTTTTCTCAGAAGACAATTCTGGGCCCACTCCAGGGGCCAATTGATCCTCGAGGTTCCAAAGGTCTGCACCGCAGGCCTGGGTTTAACAGGCTCACCCTGGAAAAATTTCAAAGCAGAAAGAACTTAGGGTCTCTTTGCAAAATGTCTGCAATTGAGAGCTCCAAGGCAGCGGTGGGGGAGCCACAGAGGGACGCACCCCGAGGTACCAGAGCGAGCGCCTGGGTGCTGCTGGGAGTGGGAGGTGGAACAAAGGCCCTTGAAGGCCACCTCTCAGGTGTGAGTCTGCGCACGCAGCTCACTGACCTTAGCAAACCCGGCTGGGGCAGACGGCAGCACTGCCATGTCCATCGTGTCCAGGATGGCCAGCGTCCTTTTCCGTCCTTTTGCAGGGGGATCGTCCTTGTGTTATAAAGTCAAGACTGGCTGCCTTCCGTCTCTGATCCCAGTGAGATGCTCTAATTGGGTATTTGTTTACCCACCACTGCAACTGGAAGTGTCAGCATTTTCCACACAACTGTCCCAGGAAGTGGGCAATCGTGGTGAATGCTGAGGCCTTGGGGGTTGGTGCACTCGCTGGGATGGAGCCCCAGAAGGTAAAGAAAAATAAAGGGAAAAATGAGCTCGTAATCATTCTTCACCTCCCTTCTCCCTTCACTGCTGCCTCCTGGGTCCCCACGCCGACCGGACCGCCAGTAGCGGTGCCCTCCTTACATGTGCACGTGACCGTGGTGCTAGTTCTATAAACACCAGGTCTCACCCCGCCCTTGGTGATGGCTTCCTGGCCTAATTCCCTGAAGCCCTGTTTGCTTCTCCTGGCACCTGCTATCCCCTGCCGGGGTGCAGCACGGTCACTCCGAACACCCCGCTCCCAGGGGGCCTCTGTTGATCTGAAAACCAAGCCAGTGGCTGAGGCTGCTCCTTTGTCCTTTCCGTGTCTCCCGAACAAATCTCCCAGGGCTGGGCGGCTTCTGACAGCAGGAATCTCTCCAGTCCCCAGGTCCAGGCTCTGGGTCTCAGTCTGCTGCCTGGCCACTGATACCACCCCCTCCCCATGTCCTTACCTGGGGGAAGGACAGAGGGCGTCTCTTGGGCTCCCATCAGGACACCAATTCCACTGCAGCCGTGTGAATGGGGCAAGTGAACAACTGGCTGATCACTGACCTGGCCCCACGGTTAGATGCTCTTCATACCATGGCATGCAAGTGGGGACTTCAGCAGATGAGTTTGAGGGCAAGCTGACAGTCAGTCCAAGCCATTTTGTCAGTAACAATGATACAGCTGGATGTGGTGACACCTGTAATCCCAGCTCCTCAGGAGGCTGAGGCGAGAGGATTTTGAGCTTGAGGCCAGTCTGGGCAACTTAGGGAGACCCTATCTCAAAATAAAACTAAAAAGGCTGGGGATAGAGTTGTGTAGCAGAGCTCTTGATTGGCAGGCATAAGGCTCTGACTGCAGCCTTCAGAGCACACACGGAAGGACAGCACCCGCCCTAGAAACCAAGGGAAAATCAGGGCTCTATGAGTTCTTTGTCTTTAATTAGCTAATTGACTAATTAATTAAATTGGCTGAAATACTAATGTTTCATTTAACATTGTTTTGGTTCTTTGTCTTTTCAGATAAGGTCTTCATAAGTAGCCCAGGCTGGCTGTGAACCCATGACTCTCCTGCGTTAGCCTCCCGCATGTTGGGGTTTCAGTCATGTGCCACCATGCCTGGCCTTAACATGTTGTTAATATGAGTTTGTCTATGTATAGCTTGTTTCAGTCCCCCAAATATCTAAGGTGGCTTAGAAAAATTCCTTTATATAACAGGATGAAGAGAGTGAGGCAGAAGGAAAAGAAAGCCAAGAGGCAAGTGCAGTGGGGGTGCTGTCAGTGGTGAGGGGTCCTTGGAGGGAGCTGTCCGCCCAGGGCCTGCAGCTGGGAGGACCCTACCAGACCCCGGACTTGCAGTCGCCCTTCCTGTCGTCCACGTGGTTGCCACGTGGCTGCTGTGCAGCGTGGAGAGAGGGCTGCTGAGGTCACATGACCACTCCCCTGTCCCTGGTTGGCCAACCAGATTCAAGGTAGCTGAAGTAGGGCTTCACCTCCTCCTCCTCCTCCTTATTATTATTGGCTTCTATTTGTGATACATAACAACTATTAATCCTGGGGAACTGGTTCATATCTCTATTGCATCTTAATCGTTTTCACTTCCTCTTCTCCTTTCCCCTCTGCTTTCATCTCCACAGTTTCTACCTCCCGGCTTCTTATCTGGAGACCCTGATAAGAGAAATCAAGCAGACACAGAAGGTTAAATGTCACATGGTTTCTTTTATATGGGAAACCCAAAGTATAAATAATTTATTGTTTTTTGTTTTTTTTTTTTGGTACCAGGGATCGAACTCCACTCTGGTCCTTGCACTTGCGCAGCAGGCAGCGAAACCACTGAGCTAAATCCCCGGCCCCAGTATGAATAATTTAAAGAGCAAAATAAAGGGCTCCACTCTTGATAGGAGAAAGATAAAAGAATCTGTGTCCCCTCCACTGGGGAAATCTTTATCTGAGATGCTTGTATTTGCATTGGCTCAAAGAGGAGCACTGGGCGTGGGACTGTGGCTAAATAGGCCATAGCCCATCATTTTGCATAAGAGGTTCTCTTTTAAAAAGGAGGCTGGCTCTGCCCAGGCTGTTGGAGATTATCTGTGTCAGCAGACTGTCACCATCAGAAAGTCCTTGTCTGGCTCACAGAAGGAATTTGTCCTAGGTAACGTATGCATCTGGCACTGTCACTCACCCCTTCTACAGAGAGAAACTTCACTGTAATCCTTACCAAGTTCAGTCAACGCCCTCAAAGAAAAGCCAAGGAAATTGTGCCTCAGCTGGTGGGTGCCGTGTGTGATTGGACTCTGTGGGTACTTCCGATCCTCCAGCCCGAGTCTGCTTTCTCAGCGCTTCCAGCAGAGCCCAGGCCTGGGAGCATTTGCCACACTTGAGGATTCTCAGAGCAACCAGCAGTGTGGAGTGAGACAGCGCTACATGCTGGGCAGGGGCCAGGTGCTCAGGACTGAAAGATGAGAAGACAAAGTGGCTTTCTCCAAAGAACTCAGGGTCTGAGGAGTGCTGCAGATAACGCGAGCAGGGCGACTGCAACATGGCTATTACTTGTAAAAAAAAAAGGCACATGTGATCTTAGAGATCTTGGGCTTCACCCAGAGTCACACCCTTCGCCGCTTCCCCTCTGTCCACGCCGGAGCCTTTCAACTGCCTCTCCTGTCTTGCTTTGCAGGATGTCTCTTTGCTTGGCTTCAAGCTTGGT